ACATGCTAGTGTGTACGGAGAAATGACAGTGTGTTTACTATTGAGCTTTTATGGAGTTTATTTCTTTTTTGTGATGCATATTTCAATAAATGGAATTCAGGGTGTATATCACTTGACTTGTGTACATCTTCGAACCGATGCAGTAACCTTATTACCAGGATGGGTACGTTTACAGCGTTCGAGGCGTTTTCTCGATATGCATCAATTGCATAGGACCTGCAAATCAAAGACGTTGGTTGTTTTGTTCCATTCAAATGATATAATTTTCAAAATGTATTTGCAAACTTTACTGCTTTTTATTTCAAGTTTATTCTGCATAAATTGGCGCATTGTAAAAATACGTACTGATGCATCTAAATTTCTCTTCCAAACTTGCATCTTTTGATTCAAATCAATAATCATTCAAAAATATGATTATTATGTTGTTTATTTTGTTTTTGAAATGTCTTGATCACCTCATGTGTTCTCATATGCTTTACCATCGGAGATGTGCACAAGTCGATACCCAATCAAAAAAATCATTCAAGTGTAACGAGCGCATTGGGGTATACATCGTTACAATGAGACAAGGTATCTGAAAGAAATATGGCGGAATACGGCTATAGTTGGTATGAAACAAGTCGTACATAGATGAAAATGTTGCGTTTTTAAGACTTCATGTCAGCTTTAAGCTCTATTCTAAGCTAATGGTTAAGAGTCTACATATAAGTATTTACCTATAGCACTGTTTCTGATTTCTGGGGGTGTGTAAGAATTCAGTAAGGTCAGTATATGTATTTATTACCTATAGCGCTGGTTCCGATTTCTGGGGGTGTGTAAGAATTCAGTAAGGTCAGTAACTTCTTTGTGAAGTCCATTCTCTCTTTCCAGTTCTGCAGGACAGTGTTCATGTCGTTGGAGGCTGAACCTGGTAGAATTAAAACCATCCAAACATTGTATGATACATAAGGTATGTGAACCACATAATATATTATACAGGTACTATTTGTACTACATTTTGCCTGAATCTGTTACATGTAAAATCCTGATAAATATAGGATCTTCCATGATTTGTTGTTGGATATGAGTTTTATCCGAGTTTTGTGTTTTTTATCCCCGAGCCTTGGGAAAACATACAATGAGTTAGATAAAAGTCATATCCAACTATAAATCATGGGAGATTCTTTTTATCCCATGTTACTTGTTTTACTCGTTTTCTTGGCCTACCTTTGCGTTCGTGAAAATATAGAGCTACTTTTAGAACAGGAAGGAGAATCCCCAGCAGTTCCACAATGTCTCCTGTCACATGACAAGCCGTGGCCTCATGGTACATGGCATGGAGTGTGTTAAAGGCCTAGAAAAAAAAAGTTTTATATATACAGTTAGAAGCAATAGACATCTGTATCACACAATTCATCTTAAGTTCTGGTTAGGGTCTGATGGATGAAATACAATGAAACAGAAAAACCAGAAGTCTCTCACGAGACTGAAGCTCTACTGGTTTTTACTTAAAGCAAAGGAAGAGGAGAGTACTTAAGCAGTTGGGAATTGAAACTTTACACTAGCAAAAAAGAGAATAATGATCCTTGAATAAGTCTCTTTATGTTCTTAGTGTAGTCTACTTGCATGCCACATTATATTATAATCAGACTAAAACTGTATTTGAAGTAGCATTTTGAGAGTAACAGAAATTGCTATCTTTATTAACCAAGGTAACTAGATGCTGTCATGAGACAGTAATACCCGCACTAAGGTGTTTGCCTCTAAATACACGCTCCTACATATTGGGCGACTTTCCAAGGAAATAGTCAAAATAATACTATAATTTACATGTATTAATCAAATTGATTATGAAATTCTCAGACCCTGTGACCTATAACTCAGAACGTCTTATATTTATTTTATACCTGCTTAATTCATTATATACCAGTCTGAATTTTATTAATGATGTAAATTCATGCACGGATCTGTCGGGGGGGGGGGGGGGGTTCAGGACATTTTTTAACCTTGTAAATTCCAGGGGGGGTCCTGACCCCCCCCCCCCCTGGAATTTACAAGGTTAAAAAATGTATACACTAAAACAAGGAAAAAGTTACAATGGACCCCCCTTGGAAAATGCAGATCCCCCCCCTGGTAAACACGAATATGCATGTGTAAAATAGGTATGAAAAGTTAAAGATTTGCGGCAATAGAAGTCACCACTACCCCCACCCCACCTCCACGATATAGGTTTTTGACGTTTGGTGAGATTTACTTTAGGTTTTTTTTTTATTGTCATTTTCTGAGATAGGATTTTTTTTGACTGAGGTGGACCCCCCCCCCCTGGAAAAAAATTCTGGATCCGCGTCTGAAATAAGATTTTGATATATGTTTTGCTCATAATAGAACCTTTTTAAATTTACTACCCCCCCCCCCTCGACACCACAATCACACAGCACATACTTTTTGGAATAGGCTAGATGGAAAAGGTTTGTTAAAATTTAGTATCGTTTGTAATGAATTAATTTAAAATTTATTCTTGTACTATACATGTGAACATGTAAATTTCTACATTACATCACGTTGCGTCACCCATTATGATATTTATAGATTAAACACCATTTGGCACACCTCGGCCGATTCCCACTTCATCTGATAAGGTGACAGAATCGACGAAAGTTCGCCAAAATGGCACATGGTTGCAGTCTGGTGTGCATTGGATTAATTCATTTTGTGTTATAATTGGATTTATATTTCATGAAGTTTACGAGACACAGGGAGCGACTTCATTTGGAACTATTGTACATGGATAACTGACGTCATCTGTCTAAATTTAACCCAAATTTGCATAAAATCAACTGAACAACGATAGTAGGTACGCATGTTTTTTTCCAAAATGGCGCAGAAAAAGATGTTATGCTTTTTTATGTTTGAAAGTTTGTTAGATGATACTGAGGATGAATTTACATACGAATATAGCAACTTCTTACTTCAAACCGGGGCCGTTCTCCATCATTGCTTAAAAGCAGTGTCACCACGAGTACCCGGTTATGTTGAAAATGTTATTCCTCTATTTTCTACAGACAATTTTCGGTACCATTATCGAATAAGCAAAGAAATGTTCGAGGAAATACTCGTTAATATTGGTGCCTACCTCACATCTAACCACGGCGGGGGCATTGAAGGGATTCCTCCATCTAAGCAACTTCTTGTATTCATGTGTTATATGTCAAATAAAGTGACAATGCGAGAAATTGGTCATTACTTTGACATAGGACAATCCACAGTGCATGGTGTGTTGAAAAGAGTCAACAGCGCATTCAACGAAAACCTTTCGAAGGTCATTGTGTTAAAAAGTGGACACCTATATTATTTACAGTACCTCCTCCCCCCCCCCCCTTTCGCATAATTATAATGCAATTATTATATAGAAGTGTTGCATTTTCTTTGTTTAGAGGATTTCCTTAAATTATCGCTTAAATTTGAGTTGCATATAAAAGTAGATTTAATCTTTTGATCTGGGCCTCTTTGCAAATTATTGGGAAAATCTTAACATGTGTTTATTTGAAATATCAGACTCAGAGGACCAAAGCTCATTTAAAAACAACCCTGTGCTCTGGTTTAACTTTTGATTTTGATACTACAATCTCCCATTATAGTGTCATGCCATTATTTCAATAGATCATCCTTGGCATGTCATTTTATACCTGTGACATTTTTAAGGCCATGTGAAAAAAAACTGATTTTGACCTTGAAGTCTTGAGTCATGTGAAGGTTTTTTTTTTGCATTCTTCAGTTCTTAAGCCAAGATCACACATGTACATCTCTACATGTACTAGTATATAATTTTCCTCAGAGATGTTTTTAACAATCATTTTAGATTATCCAATGGCCTGATTTCATCGAGCAACAGAGAATTGCACAAGACTTTCAGCTTCAATCTGGGCTTCCAGACATAATAGGTGCTCTGGATGGGACGCACATAAGATTATCTTCTTGCATTGGTGGAGATAACGACTATATTAACAGGAAACATTTCCCCTCAATACAACTCCAGGTGATAAAATATGAAACTGACTATTGAATAATTTACTACTTTGTTAATAAAAAACACATACTAAAAATATACATTTTTTAAAATTACAGGTAGTAGTTGACAATGATTTAATGTTAAGGGACATATACACTGGTTGGCCGGGATCAACTCACGATGCTCGCGTACTACGGAATTCAAGTCTTTTTACCAATGCTACAGCTGGACAGTACTTTGACGTGAATAAGTATATAATAGCAGACAGTGCATATCCATTGAAAGCTTGGTTAATAACTCCGTTTAAAGACAACGGTCGCTTAAACATAAATCAGAGGAGATTTAATCGAGTTTTGTCATCTGCAAGACAAGTAGTAGAGAGGGCTATTGGTCATCTAAAACAACGGTTTCGGCGACTACAGGAAATAACCATACATGACTCTGATGAGATTGTCAAGACAATTGTATCTGGCTGCATACTACACAATCTTTGTATCTTGCATCATGATAGTGTGGAAGATTTCTTAACAAATGACCCTAACGATGGCAATGGACACCCTAATAATTACCCCAACCTGTACCCTGATGGGAGAGATGGGGTGCAAAAGAGGAATCAGCTTGTTCAGGGACTTCCATGACTTTTTGCTTGTATTTGCACAAATTTAAAACCATCATTGTTTAAGTTCATAATAAAAAAGGAGAGCTAATTCAATTGTTTTTTTTTTCATTGAATATCTTTCTTCAGAACAACAAACTTAACAAAATTAAAATCTGAGCAACAAAAATAACAAAAAACAAACCATTTAATTTTCTGATGTACAGACAAAAAAAATATATGATTGTCATATTTTGGGTAAATCACACAACTGTACATTAGAACTGTAGTTCAATACACGTTTAATACATATAACTATGTATCAACAGAAAAAGGTTGTTTATCTGCAACATAAAAGTTTATGAATTCAAAATATTCCTTTACTACTTGTAAAACTACAACAAAAAAGAAGACAGGTAATCAGAGGTTTCTGAAATTAAATTGAGCCTAATACATGTATGTAGACAATTTTGGGACACTTTAAAGTTTACTTTTTATCAACAGATTTCTCGAAAATATCAAGAAGTCTATCAAAGCGTTGCAGCTTTTCTTCCTGGTGCCTTTGCATCTGTTCCCTCATTTCTTTATGCATAGTTTCCATTTTAGTATAAATCATTTCTGCTGACCTTTTCTTTGGGTGAGTTGATTTTTTATCAGTTGTTTTCTTATCGGTTACCGGTATCTCTTTCTCTTGCTTTGCAACACTTGCACCACTGTCAAACGATACTGTTGCTTTGGTTGATGGTTTGTTGCCAAATAAATCATCGAATTCTTTTTGGTACTTATATTCAATTCTTTCATTTCCAGTTTGCTTATTTAAGTCGATAGTTTCTTTGTATTTCCTTTTCATATTTCTAAATTTATTCAGGATTTGCAGCTTGGAAACCTTAATTCCTTCAGCATTCATGTTTTCATGAATTTTATTCCATAATGTGTCATGATTTTTGTTTTTATGAAAGGCTTCATCAAACATGGTTCGTTGGAAAATTAGTTGCCTTTCTTCACTTTCGCCCCATATGTGAACCTGAAAAGAGTTATTTATTAATTAAATTTTCTATAAATGTAATATCCGGTATACTTTTAGAAAGAGCATTTCATATAAACTATTGTGCATATACCAGGGTACTTGTAATGAATCTGCTCTGATGGCTATGTAGACTATACAATATTTAAAGTCAAAATAAAGATGTAAAAGTTCATTTATTGAAAAAATACACAGCTAATTAATTTATAATGTGTCTATTTAGCCATCTGCAGTAAAGAAATCACTTTCTCAACCACCTGTCATTACTTTTTCTACTTTTAACTGTTAAAAAAATAAACGTGCCTTACTTAAAGCCGCTTGCTCCGATTAAAATCGCTAAAAATATATATTCGTTTTTCTTTTTGAAAAATAATTGTCCATAAATTATTTCAACTTTCGTCAAATTATATCCCCAAAGTCTTTTTCTTTTTAAAGATATCAAAATTCAAAAGTTTAAAAAATATCTTTTGTTAGGTCACACAAAAAATAATCCTTTGTTGACATCTGTTGACATTGCGAGAAATCACCTTCGAAAAATTAAATTTATCGCTTACATGTATAACTCATGAAGAACAAACCCGAGCATTTTTTCCACAACAAAATGTACATGGGCAATATTCTCCCTCGTTACTTAACTCCCTTTTTAAAAAATCTTTAAAAATATCTGATTTTCCTTTATTCTGGAAATATGCATATTAATATAAAAATTATTATGGATAATATTCAATTAATTTCTTAATTTTAAAAGATATATCATAACTTAGAATTCTTCTAATGGAAAAAAATACTCAGGTTTGAATTCTCTTTATCATTAGATATAACCGATAAAAGTATTTTTTCAAAGGTGACTTCAAAACAGATCTTAACTTCCCGTCAGGAACTGCTGCTTGTCAACAAGGTTGTTTGTTTTTGTTTTCCATGTAAGGATTGTTGTAATAAACCATTAAATCAATCTTATAATTAATTTCTATATATTATCTATGTAATGACATACTTTTGTTGTTTAAGATAATATGTGCCTGTTTCGGATGAAGCGGCTTTAAATATTTAGCAATACATGTATATGATATATATGTATAAGCTTACAACATTTAGATTTCTTCCTATTTTTTCTCTTGTTCTTCTTTCCATAGCTATTGAAGTCTTTTAATTTCAAATTAATATTTGATTGAAACTCTTCTGGGGTCAGAAATGTTTTAGGACCCACTTGAATCATGTTATTTTCTGTATACATATAAGGAGAAGATGGAGTGAATAAAGATGAGGTAAAACATCTTGTTGAAGCCAAGCATGACGATGGAAAAGACCCAGATTCAGATGATTCAGAATAATATATCTGTAAGAGTTTGGGGGCATAACAGTTCAGAATTTTGTCTCCGTCATCCAAATTATAATTAAGGCCAAAATGTACCTTTTGATCATCATCTTCCATAGGAACTGTCTTTGGCAATGATTTAGCAGGCGGTAATTGTGCATTTGCAGTAGGTGATTCAGGATTTGACTCAGGTTTTTGCATATTCATGCCAGGTGATTCAAAGTTCTGTGTATTTGTAGCCACTGATTCAGGATGCAATGCAGCTGATTCCGAAGGCGACTCGGAATCAAACATAAGTCTGTATATCGATTCTTTAGTGTCTGGATCTGAATAATAAAAATAAATTACATAAATACGATGTAAAGTTGTAAACGCTACAGATTCCAGACTTCTTAAAACTTTTTTACCAGATTGTAAACATAACAACCATGAAGGGAGAAATCAGTTTATTTCTGTTAAAAACTTAAAAGATTTCAGTTAATAGGAATAAAAAATTAAGCATTTATAATGTATGATATCTTTTTTGTCATACCACTCTCCTTTACTGAAAAATATTATACCTACCTCCTTTGGGATCCTGCAAAAATGTTGCAAGGTCTTTGGACATAACACATGTACATTCCTCTCCTGTCTTCCTCCTTTTCACTGTGATTTGAACTCTCAATTAAAACAAAGCATTATAATAAAGTACTAAACCATATTTAGGTAGAAAACAGTGAACAGAAAATAAAATATCTTCTTTTAAAATGACACAGTACTAACATGCTAGCAATTTGGAAATTGGAAATCTGTGATTATTTTTAAAATTATATTTTCTAAATATTTTTTAAATTGTTGTGAGGTTGTCTTATTTTAATTTATTCATTATTCTATATAAAAAAATAATTTTGATTATGATAACATACAAGTGCTGACAGTTGACTAAATCTGATAGTGATATGTCTGAATTTAGCTTACATGTGAGTTGATTTCAAATAAAGGTAATGCAATATGTCATAAAAATTGTGAAAGCTTAGCTTAAAAACAAAAGTGCATACGCTACATGTGAAATGTTTAGGGGCTCAAGTCTTTCAGTTTGTCACACAGTGATGACCTTCATTTACCTTTTACCCCCCCCCCCTCTTCCCCTCCTTGCTCACGCATCAAGATTTCAATTTTAGAGGCACCGATAACTATACTCTATAGTTTCTCTACATGGATCAAAAAAATTCAGATCCAAACATTTTTAGCGACCTATAATGGATTATAGTTTTTTTTAAAATCATGCAAAATAAAAGTGACGGCATGTAAAATACGAAAACACTGGAAAACATAATCAAAATCATTGCACAAAGCCTGAAAACAATTAAAAACAAATTCTCTGCACTCACGTTTCTACTGTTTCCGCCATATTTGATCTTCGTTAACCACAGGAGTATTAGGGTCCTGCCTGTGTTCATCACGGGTTAAGGTCAAAAGTGAAGTGATGTCATTTTTGTTGATACAAAACATGTTCATATGTTACGCGAGTAACTATAGTTTGTACAATAGTTCCAAATGAAGTCGCTCAGGGAGTCGGTAAGTAGAAGTCAACGATTAGGTTAAAGTTTAAAAAGGGTCAAAGATCATCCCATGACACACTAGACGAATTTCATATTGTGAAGTTATCTCCCGTTGTCGATGTGACATTCAGTTACTTCCAATACTGGTGCGGATCCAGAATTTTTTTCGGGAGTAGGGAGGGGGGTTTACATCTCAGTCAAAAAATTCCAGCCCAGAATTTCGTGACAAGCAGGAGAAAAAAAATGAAAACAAATAAACAAATAAAAAAACAATGATAGTGAGGTCAATATTTTCTAAGTTTATAGGGAGAGGATGTCAATCGTCATTTTTTACTTGCTACAGTATATAGTCTTGTTTAAATAACAAAGCAAATGCCAGATGGGGGGGGAGGGGGGATTCCAATCTTCCTACCCACTTCCTGTCCCTGAAATAACAATCTATTTTGTGATTCGAGTTTAATAGTATATTTTTTTTTTCCATTTGACTAATTATTATACATATTTTGTTTCTTGTGTTTATAGTATGTCTGTCTATAAGTCTGCAAAAATTAAATCCTAGCTAGCTTGCCCATAAGTTTTAAGTGGGATGGGCTATACATATAGCTTCCACATTTTATAGGTTTATTTCTTGTGACAATTTAATAAGACCTTTTATTTGGGTACCATTAATTTTTACCTCTGATCGCTTGACATGGGATACACATTTTTACAAGAAAAATACCAAACTTTAAACTCTGCCTAATTTTTGATCAGTAGGTGCTAGGGCTTTCATACTTATCATGACATATTGTATTCATTTTGAACTGTCAACAGGTATAAATATGTTTGACCTTGACCCTAGAGTTTGAACCACTTAAAAAAAATTAACCTTGGCAATTAACTTTTGAACAGGAATTACTATAGATTTCTTTATTTAACATGTGCATTCCTTGTGACAAGACTTTCTTCTGATACTAACAATTTGAACCCTTGACCTTTGAGTTTGACATATATTTGAGAAACTTCAACCTTTGCCATAGGCTTCCATACTGGGACATCAGTGTTTCACAAACACATCTTATCTTCATTATTATTTGGTGGTGTCTCCATATGAGAGAAGATGTATTCACAACAAACAAACAAATTACTAAAGAAAATATAAAACATAAATATGTTGGTCATGCATATCTCTGCAAAAAAAAAAGGGTTTCAAATACTCCAACCATATTGTAACCCTTTCAAAACACTCATTTGAGCTTTTTTTGTTTCCTTAGCATATAATGTCTGTCGTGACGTGTTGTCCATCTGTTTGTCTGAAAACTTTTTACATTTTTAACTTCTCTAGAACCATTGGGCCAATTTTACCCAATTCATATAGAAATATGTACATTTGTATGTCAGACTCAGTCCATCTGTCTCAAAAAATTTAATCTTGGTTATCACGGTCATATCTACTGAATGAGAAGAGACATTCATATTAAACTTATTATTAGTATATTTACCTGTGAGAATGGCATGGTTTTTTTTTTTACATGTGACCTAGAAGTTTGACCAACTTGCAAAAAAATTAAGTTGTTATAAATTCATCATTTTGAAAGAGAAAAGGTAGGGCATTCATATCATAATGCATGTTTATTATTACCTGTGATAAGACCTTTCCAAATACTTTTGCACTGTGACCTTGACCTTGAAGCGATCAAGCCTAACCTACTTTTCAAAAATGTTGCATTTGCTTATAACTTTTGATTGAGATGAGATATGACTCTCACATTTGACATGTACATAAATTACTCATAAGAATTCAAGGTGTTTCCCAGCATGCAATGTTTTTTTATGCGCCCAAATTTTTTCGGGGCGCATATTGTTTTTGTCCTGTCTGTTTATCTGTTTGTCTGTTGTCAAGTTTAACCTTGGCCAAAACTTTTGAACCGTAAGAGATAGAGACTTCATATTTGGTATGCATACTCCTCTAACAAAGTTCTTTCAAATGACATCAAGGTCAATGACCTTGTGACCTTGACTGTGACTAATATGCTAAAAATATGTTTTTCAGGTGTTGGTCATAACTTTTGAACCATAGGAGATAGGGACTTCATATTTGGTATGCATACTTCACTAAAAAGGTTCTTTCAATAACACCAAGGTCAATGACCATGTGACCTTGACTGGGACCTTTATACTAAAAATGGCTTTTTCCACTTTTTGCCATAACCTTTGAACCATAGGAGATAGAGACTTCATATTTAGTATGCATACTGCACTGATAAAGTTCCTTCAAATGACATGAAGGTGACCTTGTGACCTTGACTGTGACCTATATGCTAAAAATAGCTTTTTCCACTTTTTGCCATAACTTTTGAACCATAAGAGATAGGGACTTCATATTTAGTATGCATACTCCACTAATAAAGTTCTTTCAATCAACACCAAGGTCAATGACCATGTGACCTTAACTGTGACTTTTATACTGAAAATAGCTTTTTCTACTTTTTACCATAACTTTTGAACCATAGGAGATAGCAACTTCATATTTAGTATGCATACCCCACTAATTACTAATTAAGTTCTTACAAACAACACCAAGGTCAATGACCTTGTGACTTTGACTGTGACCTATATGCTAAAAATAGCTTTTTCGTACTTTGTTGACGCCGGGCGCATAGTATTTCACAAACACATCTTGTTACCCCTTGACGTTGATGTTTTACATAATTTTCAAAATATTTAACCCTCCTAAAAGATTATTAGGCTTCTGAGTAACATTAAGGAAGACACTAGTAAGACAGGGCTTTTTGCACAAAAAACGTCATTTTCCAACCCACATTTGACCCCCCGGGGCAAAATCTAAATTCCAAAACCTTACTGCATATCTACATGACCCCACCAACCATCTCCCAAAAGATGATTAGGCTGCTGAGTAAAATGTAAGAGGAGTTCAAGGAAAACAGGGCTCTTTGTATGAAAAACGTCATTTTTCGACCCCCATTTGACCCCCCGGGGCAAAATCAAAATTCCGAAACCTTACTGCACATCTACATGACACCCCCAACCATCTCCCAAAGGATGATTAAGCTACTGTGAAAAATGTAGGAGGAGTTCAGGGAAGAAAGGGCTTTTTGTATAAAAAACGTCATTTTTCGACCCCTATTTGATCCCCCGGGGCAAAATCAAAATTCCGAAACCTTATTGCACATGTACATGACACCACTAATCATCCCACAAAAGATGATTAGGCTGCTAAGTAAAATGTAAGAGGAGTTCAGGGAAGATGGGGCTGTTTGCTTAAAAAACGTCATTTTTCGACTCCCATTTGATCACCCGGGGCAAAATCAAAATTCCGAAACCTTACTGCACATCTATATGACACCACTAATTATCCCACAAAAGATGATTAGGCTGCTAAGTAAAATGTAAGAGGAGTTCAGGGAAGATGGGGCTGTTTGCTTAAAAAACGTCATTTTTCGACCCCCATTTGACCCCCCGGGGCAAAATCAAAATTCCGAAACCTTACTGCACATCTACATGACACCACTAATCATCCCACAAAAGATGATTAGGCTGCTAAGTAAAATGTAAGAGGAGTTCAGGGAAGATGGGGCTGTTTGCTTAAAAAACGTCATTTTTCGACCCCCATTTGATCCCCCGGGGCAAAATCAAAATTCTGAAACCTTACTGCACATCTACATGACACCCCCAACCATCTCCCAAAGGATGATAAAGCTACTGTGAAAAATGTAGGAGGAGTTCAGGGAAGAAGGGGCTTTTTGTATAAAAAACGTCATTTTTCGACCCCCATTTGATCCCCCGGGGCAAAATCAAAATTCCGAAACCTTACTGCACATCTACATGACACCCCAAACCATCTCCCAAAGGATGATTAAGCTACTGTAAAAAATGTAGGAGGAGTTCAGGGAAGAAAAGTGTGACAGACGGACGGACGGACGGACGGACATGAGTAACAACAATATACCCGAACTTTCTTTCGAAAGTGCGGGTATAATAATGTTCATTGAAGTCAAAAACAGATATGAAGAATTCTGTACCTTAGTGTAGTCTACTTGTGTGCCAAGTTATATTGAAATCATACCAAAACTGTAGGAGGAGTAGCATTTTGAAAGAATTTTACAGAAATTTCTATTTTTAGTAACAACACCAACACTGTTCGTCGAAATCAAAAACCGATACACAGAATTATGTATCTTAGTGTAGTCTACTTGTGTGCCAAGTTATATTGAAATCAGACTAAATTTGTAGGAGGAGTAGAATTTTGAAAGAATTTCACAGAAATTTCTATTTTTAGTAACAACGCCAACACTGTTCGTCGAAATCAAAAACCGGTACACAGAATTATGTATATTAGTGTAGTCTACTTTATATATGCCAAGTTATATTGAAATCATACCAAAACTGTAGGAGGAGTAGCATTTTGAAAGAATTTCACAGAAATTTCTATTTTTAGTAACCATGGCAACACTGTTCATCGAAATCAAAAACCGATACACAGAATTATGTATCTTATTGTAGTCTACTTGTGTGCCAAGTTATATTGAAATCATACCAAAACTGTAGGAGGAGTAGCATTTTGAAAAATTGTTTACAGACAGACAGACAGACAGACAGACGGACGGACGCCGGACGCATTACCATCGCATAAGCTCTTCTGGTCTCTGACCAGTAGAGCTAAAAATACCATATAATAACTTAAATATAATATCACAAACTAGATGTGGTTTAGTTTTTCTCACTTCAGTTATCATCTGCAGCCCCTTGTGATAGAGTAGAAGCAACCTGTCATCTTGATTGTCAATCAAAATCTTCAGAGCACTGCAAGTAAATAGCAAATACTAACTACTCATTCCACTCTTTTATGAAAAGTTTAAATTCGAATTTCAACTCGATTGACAAAATCTCACAAAAGATAACTTTAA